GAAACCCCCCAGCTCCTTCATTTAACTAGAGCTGCTCGAGCTGTGCTCTCTCACACTCCTTCCAAAATTCCCCCAAATACATACGTTCACGCCTCTTGGTGTGCCTGCACCTACACACACCATCCCCAGGGCCAAACCCTGCCTGAGGAGCCCAGCCCCTGCCCCATCCCCAGGCACCAGCTCTGCGTTCCCCACTGACAGCACTCGCCCAGCAGCTGTTAGCTGACGGTCCAGCTCCTCTGAGGTTCTCACCGTTTGTACTTTGTCCTCTTTTTCAACGTTTCTCTCAGCTCTGACGCTGCAGTCCCTTTCTGCTGACATTCCTCCCATTGCCATCTCCCACCTCTCTGCCTCCTGGCACCACTGTGGGTGCAGCCATCGCCCTCCTCCCAGCTGCCAGAGGGCACCTGAGGCATCACCTCCTGACCAAACACTTGCAATTTGCTGTAGCAGGCTCCAGATACTGTACATTCTCCAGATTACAACTTATTAGCATCCCCCAAAGCATCAGGCTCAGTTTGACCAGAAGCCGAGGGAATTCACGGGTTTCATTGTGCAGCTGGTTGGCCATCTGCAGCCCAAGGTCTCCCCTTAACGCAGCCCTGCCCCACAGGTCAGGGCTTCAGTTTGATAGAGTGAAAGCTGTCAGGGATGGCCAACAAATCTAATAAACTCCTCCGTGTATTTAACAGACATTGAGCTACACAGCTTTTTTGTTGTGTATTTGAGGGGGAGAGTGCTTTCCATTTATTTTTCCTTGCATCCTTTTCACGATGCGTTCTGTACTTTAGAAACCCAGCATTATTTTTCTCAGAAATTTTAGACAGCAGTAAATGTGAATAAATGTTTAAATTTTCTGAAAACAAGTAAAGTAAGATTTAAAAGGTTCTCAACTCCAAAAATGAAATTATGGTTACAGTTCTGATTTCTTACATAAATAAATCTGTCATCAGCAAATGCAAAACAAATGATTATAGGGAATCTAGTTTAAACACAACCTGTCATAGCAAAATTTAATTAAAAACTGGTGTGAATCTACATTATTTTCTACCTTCACAAAGATGCATCAGAACAAAAAGAAAACCACCCAGGCAGGCCAGGAAATTGTGGAAAGACCATCAGCACCTTTGAATGCTGTGTTCAAATATGTTCAAGCCAACTAAACCCAAATAAGCAACCAAAAGGCTATGGTGTACTTTGCCAACAATTTCTCTTGTGACAGAACTTAGCGTACATATTTCAGTTAGCGAGGTAGGCAGGCTGGATAGAAATATTATCAATTGCTTTTCAGCCTATTTAAGTACACTGCCATTACCTGCACTTCAACGTTGGGTCTGGGTCTTTCACTTTAGCAAGGTGACATTAGAGCCTCAATTCTGAAAAGAATGTAAATGTGTTTTACAAAAATTATTAGTTTGACAATCAAAATAATGGGTTATGTTGGTGGGGATAGGTGATACTACAAAATGACAGCAGATAATGAAAAGCAGAGGGTAAAACTGTCTCCATGCCTCAAACAGAAACAAAAACACTGCTAAGAAGAGCTTCTCCAAAGAGAAATGCAGTCCCTTCTGTTTGAAAGCTATATTAGGAAACAGCTAAGCCATACAATAGGTCAGTTTAAATATGCCATGGTTTGGACCATCTCCATCTTCATATCAAGTTCAGGAGTCACATGGATGAGTTCATTCTACAATCAGGGTCCGCAAATTCTCTGTACAGTTATACACATCTACTTTAACTGTTAACTTCACGTTCCGTAAATAGGTCTCTTGAAAAGCAAATGTCATACTAGGAAAGGCCCTAGGTGTCCTGGAAACAGCATGATCAGGTTTAGGCAAAGAACAAACAACACGCAACTGCCCTACAGTGTCATATTCTATTGGGAGTGGAAGGGGGTTCATTTTTTATTTTTTTTTTTAATTAAAGCTGCATCTCCTAAAATCATCACCACTGTGACAGTTGTATTATTTGCGTGGAGATACTGAAGATGCAGCTTTTATAGTATTTGCTGCAGGAGTATGGTATTTGCTTTCAGAGTACCTCAGTATGACCCTGACCTGCCACCCTCATCATTGAAACAAATTACATACAATTTACATATATAAAACAATTTTTCCCAGCACTAGTTAAGGAGACCTCAAGCCTCTGTGGGGGGGAGAAAAAAAAAAAAAAAAAAAAAAAAGAGAAATAAGACATGTAAGATGTTTCATAAAGATATATTTTAACTTCTCAGGCACTCAGGAACCATGGTGATGTATGAGACACAAACTTAAATTGCTTAGATATGAGCTCTGATCCACTGGGAACTACCCTAAGATTCATGAAGAGCATCAGATGCTAATAACTTCTAGGCAGTACCTACCTGGGCTTGATTTAACTGGTGACATACAGCCAAAATCCCTTGAGATTAATTTCCATTTAAATATCGGCCATTGCTTTGGCTGTGTGAAGTGACCTTAGCATAAATGAGAATCTCTCTGTAATCTTATGCTGTTGGGAAGTCAAAAGTTTCATGCTCAAAGTGCTGGATAACTTGATGACAAAACAAATTTAATTCTTTTTGTCCTAGTATTTTCTTTTTTCCCCCATTTAGCATTCTGACTGAATTTGCAGGAAACTTATGGTGGCTTATACTTTATGGGCTTAAAATTAATAAACAGATTGCTATGTTTGTTTTGTGCGTGACAAGGGGAGCACAAAGGATTATTAATCGCAGAACTGTTCTGTCAGAAACAGCCTTGATTTTGCACTGGATATCATTCTGTCACTGTCACGCTGTCAGCACTGTAGGGGATGTATTATCTATCATGTTCTTGTTAGATTTGCTGTTCACAGATACGATATAGCTTGAAAGCTCAGGTACAATTTCAACTCATTTTTGTGTTCTTTAGTTTTGTGCAAGTAGTTTACAACTATATTATAAATATTTTAGAAGGAATCCATTTTACAGCAACTTTAAAAGCTTATTATATAATTATAACAATTTAAACTAATATACCGACATTTTACGGCTAAGTAAAATTAAGTTGCTTTTATTTCTCAACTGCAGTAGCAGCAGTATCCAGGCACTGTCCTGCACTTCAGTAATGGAAATTTCCCAGCTTCAAAGCACGCTCTGTCTCAGTCAGCTGCAATAAAACTGAGTGATTTCAATATTGCTGTGTGCTTTACTTGTCCTCAGTTATCTGGAGCTTGTATCTTTTGAAAACCGACTTCTCCTCATGAGCTTGCTTCATCTCGCCCAAGACTTAAAATTCAGTAAACAAGCTACAGATGAAAAAATAAGTGAACAAGATAAAGTTATTCTACAGGACTGGCAAAACAAAACACATGGGCAGCCAATATTTAGATAGAATATTGGAGTGACTTGTGAGGATGTCGCTGAAATCCTGCTACATTAACATTTTTCTTGTGCCAAAGCTTTATGCACTGAAAGGCTTTAAGTTTTTACAAATTTGATTTAGCTAGTGTGTAATATCAGTCTCTTGACCTATTTCTGAAATCATTGATTGTTAGGCAAATACAATAAAATACAGAAAAGAGACAAGATTACTAGAAAACCTCAGAAGTCTCATGATTTACAAACACTAAAATATGCAGTCTGTTTCCCCCACTTGTTCTCAGTTCAGCTGTTGGCAGGACAAGCAATGCCTCCAACAAAGGCAGAAGTCAAAGAACGTAGAAACAGGATCACTGAGGTTTTATGTTGTCTAGATGTTGCAGCAACTCTGTTTTCAATATTTCTTGCTTATAGCTGAGAGCAGAGGAGAAAGCATCAGTCCTGATATCTACACCCAACTGCATCTGGCTTTGTGCAAATGAAGCACTTGGAGACACAAAAGTCCCTTCACTGAGAAGCAGTTTGGGAAATGATATTAAACCTTCAAGCAAGACCTTACTAGGCCTTCCTTTAAAGTGATGCTGTTGTCACTTTGGGTGGTTTGTCACAAACACATATCTAATGATTTTGTGGTGGCACAAGTATAGTTCCAACTGTCTGCTGTTGTTACGTTTAGTCTATGTGATGGGCATTGGCTGAACAGAAACAAGGTGCAGGAAACAGTACACTTACGGCATTTTGAGACTTTCACATAAAAGCCACTGGGGTTCAAAATTCAGCCCGAACTGACACATCACACTGCCTCGGCACAGCTATTCTGAGTACAGGTTTCCACATACGAACAGACATACTTAGCTTTCCTGCTGCTAGTCTTGGCAGATAACAAGACCTGACTGGAACCAGGACTGCCGGTCCTCCTATACGGGGCAGACCCAGGCCCTGCTGACACTGCATGGCAGGACTGCAGAAGAGGCACCTCCAGATTTACAGCTGAGACACGTTTTGGGTTCCTTCAGGGAAAATCTGCATCGTTGCTCTCTAAGCTGCACCTGTGCTGTGGGAGGGATGGTGTCAGTCACTTCTTGCACTTTGTTCAACCCACTGACCAAAGAGCCCAAAGAGTCTGTATTGCATATTTTTAAAGACGTTACATCAATTAGACATCAGTTTCCACAGTCTGAAACTGGCAAATCAACATGCAGTTTTAAAACAACCAATTCTTTTGCAGTTTTGCATATCTATAGCAGAAATGAGCTCTGCAGACGAGATTTCCTGAAGGAAGTGGTGTCACAGCATGTTGAAAAAAAGAGCCAGGCTGTTGGAATCTGTGTTGCGTTACGTGGGTAATGCAATACCTCTGAGTGCTTCCTGTTTATCCAGAGAGAGAGTTTTTACCACACCATAGAACTTGCAAGCATTAAATAATAAACACTAAGAAAAAAATACATATATCCAAATATACAACCCCCCGTGGCATCTGTCATTATAAACAAGAGAAGGTTTTCATGATATATATCAGGGGACTACCCATGTGAGAAGCTGATTTCAAGGCAGAGCCCATGTCCCACTGAAATCCATGCCACATCTCTTATTAGGTCATTGGACCACTACACACACACACACATATATATATCTGTGATATATAAATAGTGATTCATTTTAATGAGCAAATGTAATTTTTACTATCAGCATTTGTCATTTTTGTAAAGAACATAAGAGAATGAACATTCACAGAGATGCAGCAAAGAGCCTTATAAAAAAAATGGCAAAAGTAGGATTTGCTTCTACCAACAATAATCTGCAAGTGCTGAGGAACCTAATCAAATATACAAATTGTGCAGATGCGCAGAGCAGTGCTGTATTGCTGCATGGCCCTTCTCACCTGAAAGCTTTGCCTCAGTTCTTCCAGATAAATTAACCTAGCCTAAAAAGGTAGAGTTGTGAAACAGAAGGGTGAAAAATTTTCAACACCAGCACTCTTTATGGTGCAACTTGCACCCACAGCAGATAAGATCTTTGGCAAGGAAATACAAACTACTGAGACTGATTTAGGATGTTCTTGTGATCGTAGCTAGAACTTAATCTGAAGCGGACAGGCACATGGAGCTGGAGTCAAGGGGGGCATAATTCAAAGTTTCTACCAAATCCACAGGGAATGAGCATTTTGTTAGGTAACTGTACAACAGTGCAGAAGACAGCCCTTGTGCCTCAGAGAGCTTCAGCACTGAAGGATGCTGGTTGAGCTCAGGGCAAACTGTGTATCTTTGTTCAAGCTTTCTGGGACAAATGAAAACAACTAAACTGCAGTTTTATATAGTAACCCTGCTGCGTGGAAACTCTAGATGGGTAATGAGTACATATAATTCTTCTTTAAATAGCTGTAACAGTGTAAGTGACAGAGTTTTAAGTGTTATCAGTTAGACCAGAGGAAAGACTGAACCTCAGAAAGATGTTCCCTCCAGCCACCAGCACTAGATCTAGCTAAATTGAATGTAATTAAGACATTTATAGCTTTTTGGATTTTGAAAGTTTTAACAATGGGAAAATTATCTGGCTTACTTTACTATTGTCTTGCCTGACATACAGTGGTTATTACTTTAGATATGCAGAGCCTAACAATAAAATGCCTTTTTAAGTGCAATACATCCATTGTAATCAAGCACCACATTTATCTTATTGCATTACTGAGTCTCTGGGTCTTGTACAAATGACACAAAATTGCTGAGAGGATCTCTGAGTGTCCTGCATCTCGACCAGCTTTTTAATGCGATGTCTCATTTCCCACCGTCATTAACAGAGCCAAACTGAACCCCTGCCCTGGAAATCCTTTGACTGAAAGATCAACAGCATTGAAAAGTATTTTTGATTATTTGACAATAAGGGATGCTTAAAAAAAAAAAAAGAAAAAAGAAAAGGGGGGGAAGAAAAAAGAGCTAGAAAGAAGACGCTGATCTTCTTGAAGAATATGCCAAAACATCTGTAGGATGATGCTCTACATCCAATTTTACAGGTACTGTTAATGGAGGTAGGGTAAGATTAAGCAATTATGCTCTGCCAAACACTACGTATGGGAGAGCAGACAGCAGATGTCCAGCCACTTAGGCCTATGCCTTGTGCACCAGACCACGGTATGGAAATGTGTGTGGATATTTAATTGTAATTCAACTACAAATTGCTTGGATTTATGAGTCTGGGAAGCCCATATGCTGCAGTGAGAAACGAGCATTTATTAGCACAGTAGCTGTGCTGGCCTTTCCCGCAGAGAAGCAAAGTACCCCCTTCTATAGAAAATGGATTAAAAGGGGGCAGCATACCACTCTCACGTCCCATTTACCTTTGTGAAGTGCAGCTGGATAAATGCCAATATGCGGATACATTTCCATCGTGAACTCTGAACAGCTTTTACTGCCGCTTGTCTCAAATAATAAAAATGCAGCAGCTGTCCTCTTATCAAATCTCAATTTGGAGAAATGTATACCTAAATAATGGAAATAAACAGGACTCCCCCTTCCAGGCCTGCTACCTGGATACACGAGAAAAACCCTTCGAGAGCTGGATAAGCAAGATGGGACCATTGCCCCATATTCCAGCATTTTCTCAGTGCTTGTTGCAGCAGCATTCTGCAGTCATTCTGAACACGTCCTGTTTCCTTCTTGGTTCCTCTTCCACTACTCATACCCATGACAACACCCTCCTAGGCTCCTGCAGCAGGTCATTCCCTTCTCTGCTGTGTGGCCTGGCACTGCTGGATTACCTCCCTTCACCTGTCCAGGCGTCTTTCCTTGGACTTTTTTCATGGACTTTTCTTGGACTTTTTTTTTCATGGACTTTTGATCAGTCCATGCTCATTTCATGCCGTTTTCAGTGAGGCACCACCTAGGAGATGAAGTGGGAAGTTAGGTATAGGGTAGCAGCAAGGCATCCTCCAGAACACCCCACACCTGCAGCAAAAATCTGACATCCATGCTTCTCCCACTCATTGCAGTTCCAGTTTTGCTTCTCACAGTGTCTAACCCTCCTTCCCTCCTGGGCTGGAACTTCACTAATTTTTGCTGAATTCATTTTCTTACCATTTATTGAGCTGCATAAACTCAAAGGGTCCAGACAAGCACCAGACCTGTATAAAGAAAGCAGCAAGGCTGGGAGCAGAACTGCCCTTTTTGATACCAGCAATTCATTAGATCTGGCTCAGCTGCCATGTGATATCACTCTGTCAGTCTAGTTTTGTCTGCAGAACAGGGAGATTTGGCTACACTGCTGGAAAGCCTTCAGACACCTCTGTTACCTTTGCCATCCTTTGCTGCCCTTTTGTCCTTTCTGGTCAAAATGCAGGAAACAGTGATCATGAGAGCAGTTTTAAAGTGCCTTTCTTGCTACCTCCTTTCCATTCATTATCTTCCTCTCCTGTTTCTGCCTTTTACTCCTTCCAAAATCTTTCTGCTGCAGCTACTGACATCTAGAAATGTACTCCCAATCCAGGACCTTTTTGCCTGCATGCACACTCACAAGCCAGATAGATAAATGCAGGCCTTCTTTCTCAGAACAAGCATTTAAAAAAAAAAAAAAAAAGTATTACACAATCCACAAGACATGCGCATTACTCACCAAAACAATCATGGGTATCCAATTTCTGCAGCCCTGCCTCTCGGTGATTGTTTCTTTCCAATATCATACCAATGTATCAAAGCCAGTACCCAATAACAATTACCTGTGTATAAAGCCAAAGCTGATGGAGTGGGTTTTTTGTATAGCTATATACAAATAAGCAATAATGATCAGAGGCAGTCCTACTGTGAAGGACAGAGGTATCTTGGTGTGTTTATCTTGTGATGTGCTATGATCATTTATACTGTTGAATTAAGAAAAACAACAAGCTATGAGCTTTCCAAATGGAATCCATTGCTAACTGTCATTCATTGCTCAGTTCTTATTCCACATGCATTAGGAAGTGCACATTATCTTATAAATCAAGACATATGAAACAAATAAATGCCTTTATATTGTAAGAAAAAAACCCTTTCTAGAAATACTGTAGAAACATTCACATCCCCTATTTCTGTCTTTTATAAAAGGCTGGCTGTGTCTTATTATCAAGTAAAAAGTAAACAAACGTAATTTCATCAGTTCTGTCTTTCGTCGATTTGCATCAGCAAGAATAAAAGACAAAGGCAGAATGGAAAACAGTAGCTTTGTACTAAAAGTTTGAATGCACAAAATACTTCTTTCTCCAGCTGTCAAACATTAAAAAACGCTATGCATACCAGTAATAATAAAAGTGTCAAACAATCAACCACAATGGGAATCACAATGCTTCATTAAAAGCTCTAAAGCAGAGTAGAAAAGCTTCCAGCCATTTGTTAAACAGAACTAAATGCTAAGATACTTTCAAAAGCATCAGAATATGCTTTCATCTAGTCTCGTTAGCCAGATAAATATCTTGTTGCTTCGTTCAGTCTGGTCTTGGAGCTTGCACCAATTCAGCAGCAACAGCTGTACATGGCGCTTGCTCTCCTGAGACTGGGGCATCTCTCCGTAAAACAGACAAAGTTAATGTCCCTTCCAGTGATCAGGCCTTCACTCCACGTGGTGCAGGGATATAATCAGTAATTTTGTATTTACATACGTAATTAGGTAGTATTTGGAGAACCTAACCTATTTGTTCAGCTGACAGGCGATGTTGTGATAAGGAATTTCAGCAGACAGGATATTTATAGACCCTTTATCTCTATGTACAATCAGAACTAAAATGTCAAACAATACCCTGAATGAAGGGTTGTTTCAGTTCAACTTTTCTCCATTGTTACTTTTCCCTTTTTTTTCCTCCCTGTCTGGTTACTGCTTAAAACTTGGCAGGGAGAGGAAAAAAAGGGAATGTGACTCACACTGACAACTTCATTTGCTGTAAGAGACCTCAGTAATTGCTCTAACCCACTTACAGGAAAGCTACCCCTCCTCTTTTTCTCTTCCTCCACCCTTAGATAGACACAGGCCATATTTGTAACACGAGCAGCCTCGCTGATCTCAGAGGTCACGCTATCACTTATAAAGTAGCCAGGCCTCTTTTCTTTTCACTTTTCTTGATCTGGATTCAAGTTAACCCATCACAAGAACTAAAAGCCGCTTCAGTTTAAGGGGCAGCTTCCTGCCACGGATTTCTCATGAACCTAATAACCAGGGTTTCCGAAGGATTCGCAGCTCAAACACAGCAGGGTTCAAGTGGCTGCTCCCATGACGTGCACCAGTCTGGCAGCCAGTGCCACAGCTTCAGCATAAAGCTCCTGGCGAGCCAAACAATTGTTGTCTTTTCCTTTTTGTATGGGCTGGGGGGCAGGGGGCAGCGAATAGGAACAGAAGAATCAGCACAGATGCCTATGCAGCACTCTACCAAAATATATTTTCATTTTTAATTACATAATCAACATAATGAGAGTGGCATTCGTAGTGAGGGGGCGGAACAGATGGCAAAGACTTAGTTTTCAGCAAGACATTAATTAACAACAACTCTGGTTTCTGCTAGAAAAGGGGTGTTGTTCTGCTCTAGCAGGGTTAAGATGGGTGCTTACTACATAGAACTAAACTTAGTTTCCAAACACAGAACAATGATTTCCCCCCTCCCCCCCCCCATATCCCCGTTGAAATGTTCAGGATGCTCTAAAACACAGCAACATCCTACCTGCAAGGTATTATTAGAACCCAGCACAAGTCTGCGTCCTAACAGCAGTTTGGGATTCTCCTTGCAAATGCTTTTGAGTGCTCTGTGGACATATACATAAAAAAAAAAAAAAAAAAAAAAAAAAAAAAAAAAAAGAGAGAGGGAGGAGGAATTAATATGATTGAGAGAGCTTTGTGCAACTTAAAATTCAGGTGAGGTTTGTAACATACAGCAGCTTCATAGTGATATTATTAAAGCTTCCTTAGATGCTCTATGGGAAGTTCTCCTTTTTCCCGTTCCACACGTTCAACTTAACATCTTCAGCATACTGATGCAGCTGAGTTGGAAAGAGCTATCCCAAGGGGGACTGAAGCAGAAAGTAGCTTAGAAAGACATTTATTAAAACCACAGGCAGAGAATACATCACCCAGACACAATGAATAGGGAAATAACACATGCAGCCGAAAAGTCTAGCCTCTATTTTTCTGTCTGATGAGACAACTGGAGAGCCAAGCACACTGAGCAGCCCGCAGATCCCCAGCTCTCCCCTCCCTGTGCTGCCAGGTGACACGAGATTGCTTTTTCCTGCTTTGCATTCCCCATCGCAGGCTCTCTGGAGTCACACGCCCAGGTCCTGCAGAGGCCTGTGGGCCACATTCCTCTGGGGATTACAGCCATCCCCAGCAGGAGAGAGGGAAGAGAGATGCAGGCCAAAAGGGATGGGCAAGCAGCAAGGAGGGAGGAGCTGGGGGGTAAGGAACCATGCTGTGGAGATCAAGATGAGCACAGGCCAGGAGCTGGAAGCTGTGCTACAGGACAGGGAGAGAGGAAGCAGTCATACACTGTGATAACGTTATACAGAATAAGGCAGCAGGACATCTAGATTCATCCGCTGTAGAACTTGGAAATGAACCCATTATTCCCACATCTCAACACTCATCCCTGTGCTGCCAGCAAATATCTTAACAGCTGACAAGAAACATCTCTGCCCATTCTAGTGACACGTACATTTAGAAAGGATGCTTTTCCATTACTCCTACTTACTCTGTGCAGGCAGTAGAGTTGTAGGTCTGTGCTGTAAGCTCAAAATCACACCCCTCCCCATTACCCAGGGGGAGTGAATGATATGATTGCAGATGATTTTTTTTTTCTTTTAATGTGCATGCTAAAAACATAGTGGGGCTGAGTTAAAAATTACATTAAAAGAATATTGCAGTTATAATGTCAAACACGAAAATATATGTCTGAACTAAGAATACCTGTTCCACCTTCCAGCACCTACTTTTATTCAAAATATCAGCTCAGGCTCCCACACCATACTGCTAGCAGCCACAAGAAAGCGCATCCTTACGTTGCTATACTGAGCAGAACTAACCTGCAGAATTGTACGTGACTTGGCCTCCACCAGTTCACGTTGTGTTAACCCAAAAATGGGCCACAGACAGGAACTCGGCTTCTTGCATACATCTGATGGCAGGCAGAGATTCTTCGCAGGATGATTTTTTAGAAGTGCCATATATCAGCAGAACTGTGCTTAGGAAGCGCAAAGTAGTGGAAAGGAAAGAATACAGAAAAGTATTTTCTGCTTAGCATGTCCTCATTCTGCAGGGCTTAAGAGGGAGATGAGAGAATCAACAGAACAGCATTTGTACTTACAGCTACTCTACCAGGGAGGGGAGAAAGGTGACTAAAAACCCTTTGCAGATACTACCTTTAAAAATAAAATAAAATCAGTGCAACAAGAAGTTAACTCTTCAAGCAAAAACTACCAGCAGATGCACAGACAAGCAGTGACTTCAGTGGAGCTGCAAGGCTGAATTTGGCTTGAATTCTGTGAAGTACTTTCAAAGCAGGAGCATACTGCATACAAATGAGCGTTAAATAATTCGCATCATTAAGAGAGCTCAGAGCAGCTTATCTGGACTTTGAAAAAAGCTAAAGCAAATGTACATTGTTTGAATACCATTAGGGACAGTCATTAACTAGCATTAAGACATCTACTGTATCGACACTTAGCGCTGTAATGAGACCCATCCTCCATTCCAGGTTATTTTCCTTATTGATTTGTAGATTTCTTATACTCAAGCTTTTGAGTACCACAGAGGTCAGCAACTCACGTAGGAATATCCATTAAAGAACTATACAATTGCTTCTAATTTATATTGGATCTTTTAATTTAGGTTTCCAGAAACACAATCCTGTTTGCGTGGTGTAGATACGGTAGGCAATTTAAACACCAAAGTTTATCAAAGAAGCAAACATGCTGTTTTACTCCAGGGTTTGGATGCCCAGGTCCCTGGTCTAACCATTGCACTTGATCGGCTCTAAGCACAGCTGCTGTAGGCCAGGGATAAACTATGGCCATATTCCACATCTCAAATGCTTGAAAACACACATCAGTAGTAGCAGGGACAGTACAGAAGGGGTCAGGTGAAGAAAGCAAGTTGTGCAAAGAACCAAAGGTACAATCCAGTTTAATATGGATGAAGGTATTCAACTGCCAGAGCTGCACGAATGGATGAGTGATGGAATACTGAGAGCTAAATCCGTGCAGCAAAGTGCACAGGGGGAGGCAGGGGCAGGCAGCAGCCTACAGGCAGTTGAAGGGGAGCTGGAAGGAATCTCTAATGAAGGCAGAAATCGTTCTGGGTGACTCAGAATATTGGTATTCACAAAGAGAATTGAGAACAGGCAAAAAATAAATAAAGCTGCAAGCAAAAAGGCCAAATCCCTCTCAATAGCCAGAACACTGATATAATCTGAGCAACCAAACAACAGGTCCTTGTGAAAACCTCTCCCCGGCTACTTCCTGCACACCAGCCCCTCTCAGCAGCCAGCAATGACTGCAAGCAGCTCACACTGCACAAGCCAGAGAGCTTTGCAGGCTGCTGTCACACTGACACCATTTTCCTTGCAAATGCAGCCCCGGTGGTCATTGTTCGACACCCCCAGCCCTTGGCTTCCCTGTGACATCTCAACTAGCGCGTTCAAACTTCACAAACTTCCCTTGAGTACTGAGCAGCTCAGCTCTGATTTCATTAGCTGCCAGCTTTTCTACATGTCACAGGCACACATCGGTCACTGACAGATTCCAAATCCCAGTACTTTTATTTATGAGTGGATTTATGCTCGCTGATTTCCAGATCTCACTGCCATCAGCCTGAAACGTATGCAGGCAGCATTTAACTAAAATCTGTAGAACAGTTAGTTCTACAAGTTTTATTACAGTGAAGACTGAAAACCAGATTAGTTTCCATTTTTGATATGAATATAAATGTGATGGCTTTTTGTCTTTATTAAGATTTCATTAAAGAGTAGTCAAAGAAGTTACAGTTCTATGCATTGGAACTGAGATCAGTAAGACTGAAGAAGAGGAAAGACATCCTGACAGTGAGATCTATTAGTCAATGGAGCAGTCTCCCAAAGGAGACAATGGGAGGACAAGAAGTGCTTTAGCAGAGCCAGGATTAAGTGCTCCAAGTGGTGCAGCCAACTCCTAGAGGATTGCTGTGAGCCGCAGTGCCTTCAGCAAGGCAGGATGCCTGCCATTAGCCTGCTAATGCACATCCTGGCTTGGCCTATTACTATTTGGGAACAGCTCATTGACTTAAAATTTCATTAACAAGAAAATATTAGAAGACAGTTTTCCGAGGGTAAGGGCAGGCCTTTTCAACGCATCTTCCCATTACAAGAGGTGATTATTAGTAGGGGGAAGAAATGAACGGTTTGCATTAGTATTTCGATTACAATTTATTAATTAGCTTTTTCTTAAACTACTTAAAAGATACTAAATTGCTTGGATACCCTCTCTTTTTTACCCTGCAGAAGCTAGCCATTTCCTAATTTCTTTCTAACACTATCAAATAAATGATTAAATAAGTAACAGCCAGCAGTTACAAAGGGGGTTAACATTAAGAATACAGATCCATAATTCTTTTACTTTAGACAGCAGACAAAACCAAAACAAATTGAGATGCCACAATTAAGGCAAAAAACAGCCTTTTAAACATTGTTGTGAGAAAGAACATAATGGGAAAATAAATTTAGATGAAAATATTTTTCACAGGTTTTAATGTCAGCTGAAAAATAAGAATGTGAAACACTTTCCCCAAAATACCCTAATAAATATGCACTGCAGTGCACAGCAGGAAGGTTGTCTCAATGGTTCAGCTGGTAACTTCCAAGCACCCTGTATTTAGGCTTTAAATGTAACCTTAATAGTGGATGTCCACACTGGATGTTTACGCAGTATTCTCGTCAATTACCAATACAGGCACACAGCTGTAGTTCTGCAGTAAAAGAAAGGTCTTTCCATGTATGATGTGACATTCTCTATACCTTGGAGGTGAAAATCCATTGAAGGATGGGACAAGAAAGATGGAGGCAAGGATTTCTTTTTATTATTAAAAGCCGACTTACCAATGCCACAGCAGTATCTGCCTACACTGTTGAACTTGACCTTTGCCTCAACTGCATGTTTCTTCAGAAACATGTGACTGATACAATAAAAAAGGGAGAGTTTGCAGAGCCATTTCAGCATCTAATTCATTCTCCCATTTTAAGCCCTTCGATATCGGGGACTTCAGAGGAGCATTGCTAAAGCAGCTTTGCTCCCAGATATCTTTGCAGAGCCAATACCAAGGACACAGTACCTTTAAAGACCAATGACATTTGGCCAGTTAAGTCTGCCAGGGAAAACTCTTGACAGGCATCCAGGCTTCACCTCATGCCAATCATTCCAGCTGCTGGAACAGTTGTGTGGAATTAGCTGCATCAACAGAAAGCAATTGGGTGAAATATCTGATGTCAGTGGCCCAACTCGCATTACCTGCGCCTGTCTGTAACCCAACAATTAGATCCATCGTTAGCAGCTTGGCTTAATTATAACTTAGAACTTCTTCAAGCAAAGACTGCGCACAAGATTTTTAAATGACTATAATTAATTACACAGAAAACCTGAAGTGTCTTCTGTTCCATTGTTGGTTTTGGTGTTGTTTTTTTTTTCCTCCTTTCCCCACACTGACACCAGAATTTCATTCTGCAAAGGAGCTGTGCTCTAGACTAAAAGAGAGGTCTCTTGGGTACACTGATAAACACACAGAGAAATATCTTTTACATCTTATGTGAAGAGAAACAAGACTTCACATTTTTATTATTATTCTAAGAGGTGCTAAAAGGAACGAACGTTACTTCCAACCTCTAACATCTTAGTCCCACTCGTTATGAATTACCACTCTCCTGCCTCCTATGTAAAAGGCTTCTTGCAGTGGCTCCAGTATCCTGCTGTTGGCCGTTATCAGAGCTCTGTCGTTGGACAAGCTGCATCCCTTCCTGAACCAACTAGCTGAAATTTAGCCAGTAAGAAAACAAAACACAGTATTAGTGCCAGAATCATTGCAACTTCTTAAAAGATATGGGGTAGGAAAGAAGGTATTACCATGCAAATAAATTTTTCTGACTCAGCTTTCCAGTGGTTAACTGCAAGATAAAAATATGACGGGAATGACACAGCGGACAGAGGGCTCTTAGGAACAGCTTGTGGTAAAGGCAACATCGGGTATCTTTTCCTATCGCCCTCGTTTTGCTTTGGCCAAAGGAAGGAGGGAGCCCTCTAGGGGCAGAAACAAAGAGACCTGAAAGCATTCAGGCACCAGCGGAGCAGCCGGCTTTTTCCATAGCGAGCCCCTCCTGCCTTACCTTGAGGTAGGAGCAATTCCCTGTCACTTGCAAGGACTGAGAGACGTAGATCTACACAGAAAAGTCAGGTCGAGTAGGAGAAGGTCACAGGCTGGCTCATGACGTGGGGAAGCAAGTCTTTCTCTACTGTTTGTGCAATCTTTTTCAGAGAAGACAGATCACCAAACTGCAGACTCAAGTACTGTACTATAGCTACTCTGGCCCACCACAGCATAGCTAGAATTTTTCTTTTAGGCTATGCAAAGGACTTGTTTTTGCCTTATAATATGCCTCAAGCATATGGTGAACTCTTGCATAAAGTGAGCAGGTTTACATTTGTCAAGGCATGTTCAAAATATTTCCTTCCAAGAGCTACTTATATCTCAAGGCTTGATAACAGCTGCACCACTTAAACATTTAAATATTTTCTCATTCTAATGAGAACTTAAGATTCTTTCCAAACAGCTCAACATAACAACATGAGAATGTGGCAAATCCAAACTTCAAAACATTTTTTTTTTTTTTTTAAACTGGAGTCAAAAAGTATTAGCATCTAACAAAACATTAGGAATTAGCTATAGCGCAACAGGTAATAGATTTTGTAAGATATCCAAAACAGAGAAGTTCAAGAACAGCTTAACACATTGAAAAAACAGATTATATAAGGGATGTCCACCATAAGACATTGGTTGTATATATAAAACTGCACTATCACTATGTTGAAACAAGTGGTTAATACCTTCTACAGTCTCTACACAATTTACAAGTGACTTTCTGCATGGCATATTCAAGCTTACACTTGATTTCTTAGAAAAAAAACGATTAACATGAAAGCCTGTAATTTGTATCAGTGCTAGTTGAATAATGATCTTGATCTAGATGTAGAAATTGCTATGTCTGTCCCTCGCCAGTGAGTAGAGACCTCTGAAATCCCCTGCATTCCTACAAGAAAACTCGTATTTCTTAAAGTTCTTCCAGTCTCCGACGAAGCACTGCTGCTCACTGTTTCCCAGGTGTGTGGAAATGCCTGTCCCCCAGCAATCTGACAGACTTGAAGAATTGATTAACAACCCTCAGTAAAGTTTCCTAGAGAACCTGGAGGAAAACAGCAAACACTAGCTAAGGCCAACTGAACAGCTCTATGAGAATTAAATAGTCTTCATTTGTGTTGCAACAATCACTAATTCAGGCTGAAGCAGAAACATCTACCTCATCACCACTGTTACTTCATTACTTTCTACAGCCTGGGAAATGAGCGGCATCAGATTTTACTGCACGTTGTCTGCAAAGAAACATACATTAAATGGAGGCAGTTAAACGGGACATGAAGATTTGCTATTGCTTGTCAAACGATTGGGGCAGATAATGCTTCTGTCATTAACTGTATGGTTTGGACACACTGAACCTTATCAACAGCATCCAACTGCAGCCTCATGTAGTTTTAAATCAAAGTTTTATATTTGCTTCCATGGGCTAATTAACTGCTTCTTGCTCAAATCCACCAGCTTCAGAGAACTGCGGATGACTGATAGCACAGAGCAGAAGATTGGCTGAGCCCCATTTTGGGCACATGGTGTATTGGAGATTTGCTAGATGAGGAAGAAAATATAAGTAAGATTGCACAGCCAAAAAGATTCA